AAAGACACAAAATCTCACCATCTATGTACAAACTATAGGCTCATATAGGCTCTGTTTAGACCAATATTAACTCTGCAGCCAGTTTGTTTTTTTGGACTAAGGCTTCTCAGCAAAAACAACACAGAGTTCATATCAGCAGTGCACTGAAGATGTTTTAGGAAAGACTCACGATTCAGCTTTTAAAACAAACTGTGAAAGAAAAACGGACCGTACAGCTGAAAAGAGGCTTCTATCTCTTGTAGTCTCTTCATAGTCACATATTTCAGTAACTTAATTTTTTTTCCATGTGAATACTGCTATCCTGCTATCCTCCTTTGTTAACAGCCTTTATGATTACTTTTTCAGATTGCCAACTGATTAACAGAAGACAATTCCTCATCTTCCTTATCTATATACATATACCTTACCATCTAACCATCTAACCTTGCTGTGTTCATGCAGAATTCCTAGTAGTGCAACAGGAGGCAACACTCTTAGTCTGATCAGAGCAGCTTCTGTATAAATATTTATCAATTATGAACGAGCAAAACAAATGTAATCACTGTGAGATGCATACATATTTATGCAACGTTGTATTGCGGTCCAGGCAATGTTGTGCTTGTCGAAGCTCACAGTAAAACAAAGCCACATGACACATCTTAGGAGATAATCAAGATTCTGTTATTGTTTGTATGGCTCCAATCTACCATAAAACACGAAGAGAAGGAATGATGCTTTACACGCAACACAGCACCATACACAAAGTACATCCGTGCACTCCCAACTCCACATTTGAGCTTATAATCGGAGCGCTTGTAATTATGTGTGCCCCCTAACCCCTCCAAATCCACAGGCACAAGTTCACAAGTTCTCGGGGCTCTTCTCAATCCCCCTCTCTCATAGTTTATCAAGATAACTGGTAACAGTTACACAGACCACAGCATCAGTATTACACAGTAACACTGCTTTGATGCATATGTAATAACCATATTATATTGAACAAAAAGTTCATAGACGCTATGATCACTAAACAATTACATGCAAGCAAGGGGACGCCTTCAGGCCAAGTTACAGAATACATAAACATAAAAACACCAATAACTGAATGAATACAAAACAGACCTGTTTAAAAGCAGGTGGCGAACCTCCTATCCCAGAAAAATTATTTAGTGTATCTAATAGATAGTAACAAAGATTTAAAAGGTAGTCATCTGGACATATTTCTTAAGCTTTAGATGCTTCAACTCCTACTGTCACTCATCACTGTCACAATATAGTCACTCATTTCTGAATGTACTCGTCTGCAGAGCTGGAATTGAATAAACATTTCACTATTAAGCATAAATGACTTGTAGATTTTTTTAGGGTACCGTGAATGGATAGTCCTAAATATAAATATAGGTTATAGACCTGATAAAGTCAAAACAACAAAACCTAATGCAGTCCTTATTGAGTGTGAAATCAGTCGTGTGAGGCAGCCCTGGTGGTTCAATGGGAGTGGTATCGCGGTAAAGACCAGTGTGAATGATACTTCTATTAGAGGGATTAGACTGATCTACTTACAGACCCCCCTCTGTGCTAGTTGCCCCAAGTTGCCTTCATTTGCTGCGTTGAGTAAATTCCTGCCGTGCTGTGTACACCATGATTAGAGACTATTGAACTTAACCACTCACATCATCGCTCTTATGTCAAACACTGCTGGATGACTCTATTGCGCTTTACACTTGTTTATATTTTAAGGAAATGCAGAGGAATTTGACTTTGTAACCAGGCATTTTTTGGAAAACAATATTAATCATTTACATCCACATGTTGTACTATATTGCAAATGACATCAAAACATTTCATGAACCTATAATATTGAATGGAAATGCAAAATGTAGTTGTTATATTCTGAGGGCCAGTCACTAATTCATTCAAGGTTAAACATTTGTCATATTTTGTTTTAGATATTTGATATCAAAATACAATGCAATCAATAGGAAAACTGGCTCCTACCTGGGAGTATGACATTATCCCATTTTAGAATCTGAAAACCACTAATAGGCATAGTCATTGCCACTGAATGTACATAATAGTTTCGTGCTATATTTTATTATCTTGACACATTTTTGTATTCTGTATTCAAACAATTCTAACAATCTAGTTAGATTGGTTAGATATAGATGTATTTATTCATAGCTATTTATTTTATTTTTGATCGCATATTTTTCATTTGCTGCTGTTCTTATATATTTTCCATTAACGTAAATAACACGAAATTTCCCTATTGTGGAACAATCGAAGCTTCACTTATCTTATGGTCATTTTTTAGATTTCAAAAGTTTTTATGGTCTTTTCTCTTTTAATGGAACAATTATACATGTTCAGTATATATTGTATTTCTTTCATATGTAAATTGTATCATATTAGCACCATGGAAATGAATGATTAAATATGTAAAAATCAAAATCAAACAGAAATCAGTATCTCCTGACAAAACCACAACAAATGTTACAACTGAAATAAACTCAACTAACAAGTTTATCTTTGAAATATGATATACAAATTTGAATAAAATTGTTGTTATTTTTATGCAGAAAAATATTCATTATGTCCAATCTGTGAGCAAGATTCTGCACCATCGTCCCTGTGGCCTATTTTTTACAGATGTATTGCAATTAATATTAATCTCTGACCTTTCAAATAACAGCTCTTTTCTACCACTAATTAGCAGTGCAGTTCTTTTTCAAATTGACAATGGGACATTTCCGATGATGAGTGCACCTCAAGACAATGTAGCACAGTGTCAATAGTTAATATATGAATGGATGCTTATAGCGACTTTTGTGTTGTGATCTTAACTTAGCGACACTGTCATTTGGGGAATTTAGGCAGCGTTTGGCAGATGGATTGAGAAAGATTAGCCATAGCAGCTGCGTTTGGGACAGAATCACAGATTAGGGGCTCTTATGTGCAGACCTGGCTCCTTTTTACACTCCAGATTTGGGCAACTACACCTTCCTAGCACCCAGTAAGGGAGCTTCAACACTTGAGTTAATCCAGTGTTTCTCATTTCCACAATCACATACACAGAAATGTCTCTAATAAAACAAATATATAATTAATATAAATAAAATGGTTTTAAATAATAGATTGTTTTCTAATTTGTTGTTTGTTGTGTAAGGGCTATACAGGTAACATCAGAATAGGTGCTCTATGGGTGGGTGTGTGCAAATATCTAAGAGCGTGTGTGTTTTGGTGTGCATAAGTGAGAGAGGAGAGATTAACCCCATGCTATCCCCAATCCCTGGTTATGAGTTTACAGCGTCTGTCTGGCCATCGCACTGTTTAAACAACAATCTAATTAATCCTGTCTTTATTAGTTTCAGTGAACTGGGGAGGCAGGCTGGGAGGGCAAGAGGGAAACTGGGAATTCTGGCAGAATTGACTGTGTGTTGGGAGGGGGTAAAACACTAAGAGCAGGAACCAGGATTTGAGAGGAATTTAGTAGCAGGGAATAGGACCAAACAGAAAGGAAATTTCAGCTGTGTTCAAATTTGTGCTGGTTTGGTGTTGGTTGGAATCCTGGTTTAGTCCTGATATAGATTTGGTTGAGGTCTTGTTCTAGTCCTGGTTTAGTCATTGTCCAGCATTCCGGCTTTGATAAAATTTTATGTAGCACCTTTTTTATACGGTATTCAGGCAATATTGTAGCAGTATATTATGAAAGTACTATTATATGACTGTAAATGTAGTTTGAGTTTTATGGACTGTAAACTTCAAAAAACAATTGCAGAAATATCACTTTATACCCTTGTCATATTCAAAACTCTTAAGGCAGCCTTTTAAAAATGATTAAAAATAAGCATAAATAATAAAACAACTAATAATATTCTAATTTTGCATACCTCCAAAACAACAAGGGCATTTTTTATGTCTCCCTCCTCTATGAATATGCGCCCTAGAGAGAGAAGGAAAGGGAAAGAAGAGCGGTTATACTGGAAAAAAAAAAAGAAAAGGAAATGTTAAAAATCAATAGAAATTGACACCACAATTTGAAAATTACTTATTTCAATATATGATAAAAATTTGTCAAATGCAGTAAAACAGAAATATATGAGCTGCAGGAGAGAGCTGTAATACAAACAGCTAACTATCTACTGCCCCCTATTGTGAGAAAAAAGAATAGAAGCGTAAATGTCATCTATTGTAATTCCTCTTAGCAGATGTTCACCTTGTTGCTTTGTGCATTGGGTAATGTTCATACGACCTTTAATTAAGAGACTATGCTAATCTCTATGTAACGAGGAGATCTGAAGTACATGTATCAAAGCTTTAATTACAGTGCACTCATCACTAAAACTTGAATATATATATATTTAAATATTTATGTCATTAATAGTGTGTATAGAAAAGGGTACCATTGAAATGTGTTTTATAGATAATTACATAGAAGGTTTTGTATAGCAGCTCTAACCCTAAAAACAAACAACCCGATTTTGCTAAAAGAAATTGCATTTCACGGACAGTATGAGCATCATTATTATGTTCCATGTTCTCAAGATAACATTAATGCAAACACTTGTATTGTAAACTATATTATAGACTGTGACGGGTAACAATTATACCCACTTCATTTGATTATAAATATATGCATGTCTTAGAGTGCAATTTTGGGCTTAACCTGTAGAGACAGTGTTTTAAATATGTGAATAAAATGTAATAATGCAAACTTACTTTTCGATTCTACGGGAAAGTATTGATACCAATTTTATATTGCTATGATAATTGTAACTGATAAAGTGAACATTAATTAATTGTTATCATGTGGTCTTATAATAGTTTATAATGATGAAGACTATTCTATAACTATTCAGGAAAGGTCCAGTTATGCACTATTTATGTCATTATTTTTCAACGTCAGCTTTATTCAAATGAGCTACACTAGTTTTAATATCAATTAGTATTGGTGATTTTTGACAACCATATCTATTCTTAATATTGTGTGTTTGTGTGTGTGTGTGTGTGGTTACCTCCAGGTTGTTTGTGAGGAAGTGCAGCGCGTGCCTGCAGGTGATCGGGCGCTCGGAGCTCATTATGCGCGTGCTCGGACAGGTGTATCACTTGGGGTGCTTCAGCTGCTGCGAGTGCGAGCGCCGCCTACAGAGAGGTGATGAGTTTGTGCTAAAGGAGGGCCAACTGCTCTGCCGCATGGACTACGAGAAGGAGCGGGAGATGTTAGCCGCTATTAGTCCCACTCCAACTGAATCAGGTAAAACGAGGTGCACATTAATCAGATAGCTAGAGTAGACAAATTGTAATTAAAGGTGTACTGCATAACATTTCTAGTGGAAGGTCCGCCACCTGATGTCTCTATTGAAATTTTGTTGTCTTGTCTAGAATGTTTCACTGTATTGATTAAAAACCTATCACAAGGGAGACAAGCAGGTTACAGCACTGCACTACATTACAGTTCAGATCTGTGGAGAGTTATTGTATTTTTGTGCAATAGAAACACCCATAATGAATAAATGCTGGATGCATGTTTAATGTCATACCCTGGAACATTCCAGGCAATACCATCACCACGGAGACAAAATAGGTGACGGAAAAGTTGACCAGAAAAAGTTGCGCAGTGCACCTTTAAGTTAGAGCAGTATTGTGATATTGTGAAATTAAATAATTCATAAATACAATTTCAGATGTACTAAATCAGTGTTGGGACATAAAATCTGGTCTTTGCAATTACCAACATTTTGGACAAATAAAAATTTTCATGTCTTCTTATCTTATGTAGATGTAATCAAATCAAAACTAAAATGCACAGGTCTGTGTTAAAAAATAACTTACAAAATGGGACAGACAAAGTAAAATTGCTTTTTGCTCTGTTCCATTTCCATTCTTTTTCTGTTCATTTAAATGTATAACAATGTTACTCTGTTACCTTTTAGGAATTAAATGAATAACTATTCCTAACTAATGAACAAAAATAGAAAAAAAGATTATATAGGTATATTAAATTTCACACAAAATTCAAGTTGTAAAAATACAGTTACTAATACAAATGTAAACATGCAAGATAAGAAAATTGTCTGTCTTTCTTGTGTTATTTAAAAAGTGAACTGAGTTTGGGTCAAAATTTTTCTGCTGACTAATAACCATTGAGAACTTTGCACAGAGCACTGAACCAAATCCGTGCACAGGAGTGATCTCGGCTTTGGTCAGCCCTAAACTATGATGACCTGACATTTCACTCCTACTTAGCCCAGCTTTAAGGCCTTGTGAAATGTTTTCTATCATCTTTGTGGAAACCCCAGTGTCTCATAAGGGCTCATTGTTTTTCTGTTGACCTTGATCAGTGAAGAGTGAGGATGAGGAGGGAGGAGGAGGATCTGGTGGAGGAAAGGGTGGAGACGAAGGCAAGGAACACAAGCGATCCAAAAGACCTCGCACCATCCTGACCACACAGCAGCGCCGAGCTTTCAAGGCATCGTTTGAAGTGTCCGCTAAGCCCTGCCGCAAGGTGGATATATTAATCTTATTCATAACACAATGGCAGGTAGAGAATTGCATACACTTGATAATCTCTTTTTTATGGTTCACACATGGAATATTAAGTGGCAAGGGCACATAATATGAACAAAGCCAGTATGAAATATGAACAAAGCTAGGAGAAACAAGGAGTGAATATGTAAACTGACCAGCCCAGCACATTTGGGGCGCTCAGA